GCTCCGGGTATTGCTGGCTTAATGGCGTGGGAAAGCTTTTCCACGTGGGCTCGTGCTCTTCAATTGGAGGGTGTGGCGGCGCAAGTCGCGGGGTTGGGCAGAAGACGTTGCACCCAACTCCGAATTCAGCGGGCGGCGAAGAAGGCTTGCGGGCTTGCGGGTCCGGGACACCCGGGATGCCGTGGAGGAGGAGCCCCAGCAGCGGGAGGAGGACCCAGTTTAGCAAGCAGCATAGAAGGAGATGGAGAGGCGGAAGGCTCCGCCACCAACTCCAACACGGTGGTGCGGACGCGGTGGGATCGGGCATCACGGCGGGACTTTTTGTGCGAGTATTTACGCTGCACCCTCGCGGCTCTGTGGCGATAGTTGTAGGTTGTGGGGAGCCCTCCCAAGCACGTCCAACAGCGGTCTGTACATAGCGGCGAGGTGTGTGTGTCGGTGACGGCGTGAGGCTGCGTGGCGTCCGACGACAGTCCGGCGGTGAGGCTATCGCAGTTTCGCGGAACAAACAACGTGGGTACTGTGGATTGGAGGTCAGTTGGTGCGCCAATGTGTTTTTCTTTTTTCTTTACATTTCTGCCTCGCTCGTATTTTGATGATGATAGCTAATGAGAATAGGTTTTGGGCTTGCTGTTGTTTACTGAAACGAACTTTGTGAATTCTGTGCGGAAAGTATGGAAGGGAAGCTAATATATATTTATTTATATTATTTTTCCTGTCTTCTTTGTCGTATTAGGGCTTAAGTAACACTTTGTTCGGTTTGTTTTGTTTTAGGTCTTTTTTTTTGTTCCCGCTTGTACCAACTTCGTCGTGGGTCCACCCACACGTTGGATGCGAAACGAGTATAGTTGTGAATAGAAGGGAGGGAACTAGTGTAGAGGTGCAGGTTGCCTATTCTTTAATCCTGGTATTTTGGTTCGCACACACACACACCTGCGCAGAAGGTCTCTTTGGAGCATGACGGTCCGCGTGCAGTGGTTGAATGATGTGCCCACTTGTGAAGGATGGATTGAGAAGTTTTCGATTGGGCGTGGTTTCTTCTCCACGAAGAGTTGGCAGAGACGTTATGTCATGGTGGATTGTAAGGGCATAGGGTACATGCATAGCCCTCCCAAGCGGCCCATGAAGCCTTCCTCTGCTCGATGCTTTGTCCCATTTGAGGGGCCGCGTAAGAGGAACGGCGAGATGTGTCTTCGACCAGTGTACCTTCTGCGGCACGTAACACCGTTCATGCATCCAGAGGTTCCTGACAAGTCTCAAGGGACGTTTGCAAGCATCTCAAGTGGTAGTGATGTTTCATGTGAGTATCACTACTTTGCAATTTCATTTCAGGAGCGAGACAAACGGTTTTTTATGCTTCTTCGCACCACAACGTTAGAGGATTACAATGTGTGGACGTTGGTACTCTCAGGCTATGTGCCAGCAGGAAGTATAAACACAGTTGTTCCTGTACCGCACCCACTAGTGACAAGTAGCGGTGGCTTGCGCTGTTTCCTCCATCCAAGGCTAGCATTATTCTTTAGCAGAGACGAACATGCAACGAATAGTTCATGTGGAGGTTTTTATGTGCAGGATCCTGATCCATGCACGGAGGTTGAACTTGACAGGATACACAAGCTTGTGCTTGACTGGGACGAGGGAGAAAAATCTCGCTGGCTTACTCTTCTCAATGAAGGGTCTTCTATGTCCACTCAAGCGTCTCTTCTTCAGGGAGAGAATGAGGAAGAGTGGGTCAAACTCTTGGGCGTCGCGGCAGAATTGGATGCCGCGTGCGAAGAACCAGAAAGCTCCGGTGGTCTCACAGAGTAACGGAAGGGCATGCGTCAGGCGAAGGAATGGTCATGCCCACAACATTTAACACGTGTATTTTCTTTATCTCTCTTCAATCTGCCTAAAACCGCAAAGACAACGGAAGCTGCTACAGTGCCCCGAGTTTGTGACCGTGTTTTTTTTTCTTCTTATTTTTGAGTACATCAGCGTTTTGTCCTTCCCTCCGTCTACGCCTTACTCCTTGTTGGTGCTCTCTGCTTGTCCTGCGAAGATGCGGACGGCGCGTCGTGCGTCAAAGGAGGAGCACAGCGGGAGCGACAAGCAGAAAAGTTTTGGGACGTGGTGCATGTACCTGTGTCTTAGATACTTTTTTGTTTTCTTCCCCTTGCAGTAGCAACAGGACGGACTTGGATGTCCGCCTTCTTTCCTCGTCGCTTGGTTGTGTATAACGCTGCCAATCGTTTCGGCTGCGTGTGTGCGCGTTGGTGCGTTGTGTGAGGAAAAGTATGCGGGTGTCGGTCGTTGAAAAACGCCCTTGCACGCGCCTGCGCCGCAGCGACGTCACCGTGCGGGTATTAACGGCGTGCGGATTTTTGTCCTTCACACGCGTACGCCCCACTTGCCCCTCGTTTGATGGGGAACTAAAGCCGCGGAATGGCATTGACGACAAGCAAAGAGCCAAAACAAAATAAGTTATGCTGGCGGAGGGGGACACGGAATTAAAGGGGTGGGGAGCGAAAGAGCGAAAACAAGGAAAACCAAAAGCAAAAAAAAAGAGGATGAAAAACACAAAAAGAATGGACAAAACATTATTTTTTTTTTTTTTTTTTTTTTTTTTTTTATGTAGGTTCTTGAGCAGAG